CCTGAGTTGTCTGCCACTTTCATTATTAAAAATGTTTCTGTTATTTCTTTTACAGTAAAGTTCGAAGGGGCTTTTCAGCTCGACACCTAGTCTTGAACATGGATACTCAAAACAGTACGTATAAGTTGATTTTTTAAATTCAAAGAGTGATGTTGTAAATAAGTGTTAAAAAATATACATTTCAAATTAATTTTCCCTGTGCAGGAAGTCTCTTGCAACTGGTTTTGATGATAGCGGGTTTGATGATATGCAGACAGAAACCACCTTGGAAATCAGCGACCAACAGTCAGTACGAAAACTTTACATGCTAGAAGTTATAAATCATATAAGTCTGTCTCTAATTTGTCACTTTTATTTTAGATTGAATGTCACTAACCAGTCCAGTGAGCAGGAGCTAGAGGTCGCAGATGACCATGATGAGATTGTGTAAGTGTAAGGATAACACGAGTTAAACGCGAATAGTCTCTGAAGATTTTTACCAGGGGATGTAAGGAAAGACGGCCGAATTGACGTTGAAACGGTGGCTTAAAAGGGTGGAGCTTCAGAGCAGTACTGCTGAGAGAAGTACTGTTTTAGTTGGTGAGGCGCATTTCTGAGACACGCTTTATTTGCGTACAACCTCCTGTGGACGATTTAATTCTCGACGTGTCGTCGTCGTGTTTTAGTATCTCAGTCAATACTTCCTGTCTGCAACTGGTATTTTTGTTTGCTTGGCCCTTGGTCCCCTTCTAGGATGAAATCACTTGCTAAATAGTCCGTACACCTTCCCTGAAATAAATGCAAAATAGTTTAATAAACAGCATTTAAGTGCGAAATAGGCCTGGATATCCTGTAAGTGCTGCGAAATACCCCGAAATAATCCGTAATAACCTTGAAATGACCGAAATGGCAGGAAAAATAACACGAAATAGCCCGTACGCTATGTACTCAAGTGATCTGGTCCCTTCCCAAAAATTTAAGCGTGGTGTCATCCACCTTAATCTACCGAAAAAAGCCTATCATAAGGCTAGCAAATAATGGACAAGTACCAAAAGGGTTCCTAAACGGACCAACGAACCGCAGATGGATCAGCTGATGTTAATCCCATGGCCACCAACCTGAAACCAGACGCAGGAGGTAAGAGAGAGTGGGGCAGTGTGTAACAGATTTTGGAATTTGGTTCAAAAAGTCAAACTATGTAAAAATGTTAGGTATATCGGATGCAAAAGGATAGATTGGACCTGTACCAAGCCTAAAAATTGCTCGGGTGTGTCTGCATTTGTTTGTTATACACTGCCCCGCCCTAGGGCAGTGTGTAACGACAGTGGGGCAGTGTGTAACAAAGTTAAGGATTGAGTTCTGGAGACAGAAAGGGAGAAAACAGATTCTCCTTGCTTTCTGCAACAGCTGCCAATATTATATCAGTTTTTTCAACAAGATCCATTTTTTAACGGGATTTTTGTTTAATTTAATCGAAAACACATGATGGGTAATTATTTTAGATTTATTTTGTGAATTTGGACTGTAAACAAACAACTGTGCATCAGTGACAGTGTTATGGCATAGGCACATCATTGATTTAAGCAAATAAGGCGATTCGTCTTTTAACACATTGAGCCAGACTACACAATACGTTCATGTTACACACTGTCCCAAGGTACACAGCCTGTTTTGTGGTCTCGTACGCCAAGAACCCTCGAGGTTGTGTTAGTGACAACGACCATTTTCGAAGTGCTAAAGTGTCTACTTCTAAAGAATATCATTAGGTGGGGGAAGTTTGGAACCCAACGACCTCAACCCAAGTAGATTTTGTCCCAAAAAAAGGAAAATTGGCTAAAAACAGGGTGGACCTGACATGGCCGTCATCTCGCCGC